GAATGTAAACTGGTACAGCCCCTCTGGAAAAGAGTGTGTAGGTTCCTCAGAAAATTAACAATAGAACTCCCCTATGACACAGCAATAGCACTGCTGGGAATTTACCCAAGGGATACAGAAATGCTGATGCATAGGAGAACAAGTACCCCAATGTTCATAGCAGCACTCTCCACAATTGCTAAAACATGGAAAGAGCCTAAGTGTCCATCAACGGATGAATGCATCAAGAAGATGTGATTTATCTATACGATGGAATACTACATGGCAATGAGAAACAATGAAATCTGGCCATGTGTGGCAACATGGATGGACCTTTAGGGTGTTATGCTGAGCGAAATAAGTTAGGCAGAGAAGGACAAATATCATATGTTTGCACGTATAAGAGGATTAGGAGGAACTTAATGGAGGACCATGGGGGAAAAGGGGGGAAATGGCGAGGGAAGGGGAGAGAGGCCAACCATGAGAGACTCTTGAATGCTGAGAACAAACTGAAGACTGATGGATGTGGGGTGGAGGAGGGAGATGGGCATGGAGGGGGACACTTGTGGGGATGAGCACTGGGTGTTATATGGAAACGAACTTGACAATAAACTATTTGAAAAAAAAACAAAAACAAAAACTTAAATATAGTACTACCCTACGACCCAGCAAATGCACTACTAGGTATTTATCCATGGGATACAGGTGTGCTGTTTCCGAGGGTCACATGCACTCTGATGTTATTAGCAGCACTGGAAAGAGCCCAGATGTCCACTGATGGATGAATGAATAAAGAAGCTGTGGTGTATATATACAAGGAAGTATTACTCAGAAATTGAAAAGAATGAAATCCTGCCATTTGCAACTAAGTGGATGCAACTAAAGGGTATTATACTAAGTGAAATTAGTCAGTCAGGGAAAGACAAATATCATATGACTTCACTCATATGAGGTCTTTAAGATACAAAACAAATGAACAGAAGGGAAGGGAAACAAAAATAATATAAAAACAGGGAGGGGGACAAAACATAAGAGACTCTTTTTTTAAAATGTTTATTTATTATTAACACAGAGAGAAACAAAGCATGAATATGGGAGGGGCAGAGAAAGAGGGAGACACAGAATCTGAAGCAAGTTCTGGGTTCTGAGCTGTCAGCACAGAGCCCGACGTGGGGCTCGATACCACAAACCATGAGACCATGACCTGAGCTGAAGTCGGACACTTAACTGACTGAGCCACCCAGGCACCCCTAAGACTCTTAAACATGGAGAACAGAGGGTTACTGGAGGGGTTGTGGGAGGGGGGATAGGCTAAATGGTTAAGGGGCATAAAGGAATCTACTTCTGAAATCACTGTTGCACTATATGATAAATGGAATGTAAATTTAAAAAATAGATTTTAAAGAGTCAGATGCTTTTCTGACTGAGCCAGCCATGTGTCCCCTCCTTCAATATTAATAAAACTATGAAAAACTTATAGTTATTATTATACTTATGAAATATGGCACATTTCCCCCGAAGATCAGGATCAGGACAAAGATGTTCATATTCATCATTTCTATTCATCACTGTAAAGCAATTATAGGCAAAAAAAAAAAATTTAGAAATCAAGTTAAGATGTTTGGGGTGCCTGGATGGCTCAGTCAGTTAAGCATTCAACTCCTGAACTCAAGATCTCAAGATCTCAAGTTTGATGTCAAGGTCATGAGTTGAAGGCCTGCATTGGGTTCCATGCGGGGCTTGGAGCCTACTTTTAAAAAAAGCGGGGGAGGAGGAGGAGAATCAATAAGATTTTCTTTTGTAACTGCCAGGATTGTATACACATAATTCAAAATAATCCACAAACTATTTGAAAAAAAATTCAATAATTTAATTTATAAATGTCACTGGATACAAAGATCAATGTACAAAAAGAAACTGCAATTCGTGCTAGCTCAAAAATCAAAATGGAAATAAAAATATTTACAAAGTCAAACATACCACATACCTAGAAATAAGTTAAAAATATTCAAGACTTATACAATTAAACTACAAAATGCTGTTAAGAGACATTACAGACAACCTAGGTAAATGTATGATTTTATTATGTTCAATTGGAAGACTCAGTATCATAAGATGTCAATTTCATTCAGGTTATTGCATCAAGTCAATGACAATTCCAAGCACTCTCAGCGTATTTGTGAAAATTGATAAGGAAATTCTTAAAGTATAGAAACAAATGAGGAAATAAAAAAGTTGTCTCTCACTACCAGATTTCCAAACGTACTACACAAAGCAGCATAGAGGTTGAGAAGTCATCTTTAGCAATCTAAAGATATGTTAACAGATGGTATCTAAACTTATGAAAGGATTTCTACAATTACTTAGCCTTTGTTGAGTTACCAGACTTCAGTTCCCCACCATCGCTAAGACCACAATAAGCACCACATGCTAGCAGACAAGATTACCTCTATTCCCATATCTGCACTTGCCCACTGCCATCTCCTCCCCTCCTCCATCTACATCACAATTGTCAGGACTCTGATTCAGTTAGGGCAGACTCTGGTTTCTGGATGAGCCCGGGAGCCTGTCCTAAACAAATCAGGGCACTGCGCTGTAACCGGATAACAATTGGCAAGTGAGCCAATCAGATTCTATTATGATCAACATAATGGAATTATTCAAAAAGACCATCAGCTCTTTTCTCCCTGAGACTTCAACCTAGAAAGAAAGCAACCTGGATCTTCTGGTACCTACAGCACAGAGAAATAGCCTGCCAGGAAAAATAGCTAATACAAGAAGAATGCACAGCCACGACACGTGGACACAACTCATCCAGATAATAAATTCTCTTTATAGCTTACAGAAATGAGAAGAGTGAAAAGACAAGCTAGAGACTGGGAAAAGTTATTTGCAATATATGTATATATAATACACGTAGCATATATGTCACGGTTATATGTCTATATAACTGGGTGTAGAGATACACATACATACAACAGAGGATAAATAACTTGAAAGAAACCCTTCAAATAAAAAAGGAACCAAAAATGGGTGAAATGCTTCAACGGGATGCCCTCATAAAAGTTATCCAAATAGCTAATAAACGCATAAAACATACTTCTCATCCTTACTATTAGGTAACTGCAAACTAAAATGAAAGCAGGAGATTGCTAAATCCTCTGCTGGATGGCTAAAATTAGAAAATGCTGGCCAGCTACGTGGGAATAATCATAATTTTCACATGTTGCTTTTAGGATAGGTGGAATCTACCTTTTTGAAGGTAGTAACTATCTTCTGCAGTAACTATCAAAACTAAAGTCTACCCTATGCTTCAGTGATCTCACTCCTACATACAAAACACTTACCAAGAGAAAACAGTGTTAAGTCAGTGAAAGGAGGAATTAAAAGGTGAACCAGACACCATGCTGAGAAAAGAACACATAATTGTACATGTTGTACTTAAGCACTTAGATAAAGATCAAGAAAATCAAGAACAAGCAAACCTAATAAATTGAATGAAAGTCAAAATTGTGGGTTCTTCTGCGGAGAAATTATTGACAAGGCAGATAAACTTTCTGGAATCTTGGAAATGTTCTGGTTATCAGGGTGTGTACATAAGTAAAATTTCATCAAGCTATACACTTAAGAGTAGCACGCTTCATGGGTAGTAGTATACATACGCTTTACTAAAACGGCATAAAATGATAAAGGGAAAGTGCCATAGGGATTCTTTCAGAAATATAGGAGGACTATAATGGAAGGGAAAAGTGTAGCGGGATGTACCTGAAGAAGCATAAACTAAATAACTCATCTTTCTCAAATAAAAAAGCAGAAAAACCTGTTTAAAGGTGTCAAATATAAATCTTCCTCCGGTAAAAAAAGGATGGCATCCTGTCTTATGATTACAATTATACCTAATTTTCCCTTCTGTCCACAGCTCTTCTCGGTTGGGATCCCTGGGGATAGGCATAGCTGTCTTTCCTCTTAAGCAAAGTGCCATGATGGATTGGACCACACAGATAACAATCCTGCTACAAAATGGCGCCAACTCTATATATTCAATTGATGTGCCAGAGGGACTGTATTATCAGAAAAATGGCAATGCTGGAACGTGCCAGAAAATCTAAGCAGCTGAGTATGACCATGATGGAGGAACTTATAGAGGTGTCTATGCAGCTGCTGACGCTGACGTTACTGAATTGAAAGGATATAATATTGCTTCAAGCTAGTATTGATTGGTGGGTACAGTAATCAGGAATTTGAGCTGGAAACTGAAGTCCACCTGGCCCTATGCATCTGTCTTCATCAATGGCCCCACTAAACAAAGAATAATGGCTTCTTTCCTTTCTAATGCAAACTGTTTTAACAACTCTAACCTGGAGGTGGATAAAGGAAATGATTTTGAGAAACGAAGTCCCAACCATGTCCAAATTAACACACACAAGCCAGCTCAACCAACTTTACTTCTAGTTTGTTTTTTCAAGGTCTCTTTTTAAACTCAAAACACTGGGTCCAACTCCCAGCCTTGAGCAAGGACAAAGAACAAAATACAAAAACAATGTATCAGAGGGGACTCTTCTTTTGAGAACTTTGCACTTATTGATTTCTGCTTAAATTGCTTATTAGACAGGAAAAGCTTTTAATAGTAAAAACTGATAACCTTAAGAAGTAGAAGTTCTCTTAGTTTAAAAAAAAAAAAAAAAAAAGGCAGAGTCCCTGGGTGGCTCAGTAGGTTAAACATCCAACTTTGGCTCAGGTCATGATCTCATGGATTATGGGTTCAAGCCCCACATTGGGCTCTCTGCTGTCAGCCTCTCGGCACAAAGCCCACTTCAGATCCTCTGTCCCCGTCTCTGCCCCTACTCCACTTGCTCTATCCCCCAAATAAATACTAAAAAAAAAAAAAAGGAAAAAATATTGAGTAGGCAATTTCCAATATCTGGCATACTGGATCAAAATGAAATTACCAATTACAAGAAAAAATTACGAAAGAAATAATAAATACCAAAGTGTTGATATAATAACTGTACACTTGGAGAACAACGAGCATTTTTAGAAACTAGTTTTTTAAAAAAAGACCACTCCTGCCTATGAAAAACACCTCAAATCTCCTTATGGGTCCAAAAGATTTTGTCATGAAGAACCTTTACATCTCAGCCAAAATAAAAGGACCTCAAAATTAAACATGGTTAGAGGTGAAAAAGTATTAGAGTATCACCTAAAATATTCACATCAGAAAACAGAAAGTGAAAATCAATGAGTCTGCAGTCCACTTTAAAGGTGAGGCACTGATCTGTGCTTCTAGCAGTTTTCTTATACACAGTAAGTGATGTTTGTTGAAGGCATTACCACGAGGTTTACATACACAGGGTTCCCTCAGCTGTGAGTTCTCAAGTCTTCAAATAGATAAGCAACAATTTCCTGCTTTCTTACATTCATAGGGTATCTCCACAGTGTTAGATGGAGGATCTGAAAACGCCTTGCAGACATTCCCATATTTCTTAAATTTATATATTTTCTCTGCTGTGAGTTTTCACATGTCTTCGAAAGTAGGCAGGACACACAAAGGCTTTCCCACATTCCTTACATTCATAGGGTTTCTCTCCAGTGTGGCTTCTTACATGTCTTCGAAAGGATGAGGGACAACTAAAGGCTTTCCCACATTCCAGACATTCAAAGGGCTTCTCTCCGGTATGCATCCTTGCATGGACAGTAAGGTATGAAGAATGGCGAAAGGCTTTCCCACATTCCTTACATTCATAGGGTTTCTCCCCAGTGTGTGTTCTCATGTGAATTCTAAGGGCTGAGGGATAAATGAAGGCTTTTCCACATTTCTTACATTCATAAGGTTTCTCTCCAGTGTGAGTTCTTATATGTACTGTAAGGTGAGAGGAACTAATAAAGGCTTTCCCACATTCCTTACATTCATAAGGCTTCTCTCCACTATGAGTTCTTAAGTGTTCCGTGAGGGATGAAGAACGGCTAAAAGCCTTCCCACATTCCTTACATTCATATTGTATCTTCCCAGTGTGATCTCTCACGTGTGCTCTAAAGGATGAGGGACAACTAAAGGCTTTTCCGCATTCCTTACATTCATAAGGTTTCTCTCTACTTTGGTTTTTCACATGTGTATTCAGGGAAGTGGGAAGGTAGAAGGCTTTTCCACATTCCAGACATTCATAGGGTTTCTCTCCAGTGTGTTTTCTCATGTGGATACTTAAGGAGGAAGGACAATTGTAGGCTTTCCCACATTCCTTACATTTATAAGGTTTCTCTCCTGTGTGTGTTCTGACATGGACAGTGAGTTTTGAGGAATAAATGAAGGCCTTCCCACACTCTTTACATTCGTAAGGCTTCTCTCCAGTATGAATTCTTATATGTATTATAAGGTGGGAGGAAGAACTAAAGGCATTCCCACATTCCTTACATTCATATGGATTGTCTCCACTATGAATCCTCTTGTGTTTAGAGAGTGAGGAGGAACAACTAAAAGCATTCCCACATTCCCTACATTCATAAGGCTTATCTCCACTATGAATCCTCTTGTGTTCTGTGAGGGATGAAGAGCAGCTAAAGGTTTTTCCACATTCTTTACATTCATAGTTTGTCTTTCCAGTGTGAATCTTCATATGTGCCCTGAAAAATGAAGAACAAGCGAAGGCCTTCATACACTCCTTACATTCATAGGGTTTCCCTTCAGTGGGAGTTTTCACATGCTTCTTAAAACAAGCAAGAAAATGAAAAGCTTTCCCACATTCTTTACACTGATGGGGTTTGCTTCCTGTGTGAGATCTGATGTGATTCTTAAGGGATAAATGATCTGTGAAGGCCGTTTTACACTCGTGGCATTCATAGGACTTTACTTCAGTAGTTCTCCTCGGTATATTAAGATGTGAGATTTGGCTGAAGTTTTCTTCGCTATGTTCATTGACGTTCTCCACCACAGGACTTCTTTTAAAAATAAAAAAGCACATCCTTAGTGACAAATAAATGTTTACCATTTTCGGGGACTGTGTACATTTTCTGCCCTGTCAAGTTACAAGCTCAAAGTTCTCTCAGAGGGCTCTACCATAGCCAATATTATCACAGAGTTGTTTTGGCTTATATAATTTTTATGATAACTGCTTACAACTGAACTATGTGTCAAACATTGAAAATCTCAATGTCATTTTGGGGGGAAAAATCTTGTAAAATTATTTATGAATTCACAATTTTTACCAAGATCTATACACATGTTTTTTAAGTTTTACGACATTTTAAGATCCTCTTCTCAGGCACTACCTTTTCTTACTTACCTCAAATGTCTCTCATGGGTTTTGTTTTGATAATAAATAGATCGGTATTCCCCATTTTTGTGTAAAATAGATGACCAAGAGTCATTCCTTTTGAATCTTACTATTTTCTGTTCACTGGATATATTTTGTCCATAAACATCTCGTGGAGTAACTGATTCTCTAGCTTTAAGCTGAGTCTCAAAACCTGAAACAAAAAAGTAAAGGCACCTATAAGCAAAGGACTTCTGGAAATGTGGCTGTTTCAGGACTTTGGTAATATGCACAATGGTCAAAATGTAAGCAACTAAGAAATAATCCATGAAGACTGAACTGACAGAAACACAAACAGAGTATTAATAGGAGAACAGAACAGAAAGGAACTGGATAAAGTGCACATGACCAAATACTAACTCACAAGAGGAAATACAAAAGATCTTTCCAAGAACAAGGATACTGTAAGAATACTGATAAAACGTCAAAATAATAATCCAAGGTATCTGGAAGATGAGACCCCTCAAGCAAAACAAAGTTTGTTTTGCTTTTATTTGATTTTTCCAAATGTAATATCCCCCCAACCAGGAGAGTTTCTCCCAAGGATTCTTGCCTTCCTGGTGCTCCCCCTGGGTCGGTCCTCTTTCCACTGTCTCCAGATCCTCCTCTTCTTTCCACTGGGAGATCAGATACGGTGTGGGTAGCGGATACCCTGTTAATGCAGAAAGACTTATCATGAGGGAAAACAATGACGAACCATAAGCATTTCCATGACACAGGGTCAAAATTTTGCTCTTCTGATACTCTAATTATGGGCAAGGTAAATTTAATTTCAACAAGATGTCAAAAACATGTTTCAAGTGGGGGCAAGGTGGAGGGGTTGACAGTGACAGAGACAATGACACAGCCTCTGATATCTAAAACCAATGTGACGTTCATATCTGAACTTCAATATTAGAAGCTAGTCTGATAGTCAGGACACTTTGTTATCCTGTTGAATATAAAAATCTCACAGAATACCAATCTTAAAGTTATGCTAAGATCATGATAAAATTAAACAAAATAAGGCCACTATGTAATTTAATCTAAGGATGACCACCTCACCAACGAGCGCGCGCGCCCACACACACGCACACACACACACACACACACAAACTCAATAATAAAATTTTTACCTCTTTTGTCAGCATCCAATCTAAAGTGACCACCTGTGGATTGAACAGTGTTCCTTAAAAATTTATGTCCAAAGAGATCAATGAAACAGAGAGCCCAGAAATAGACCTACATAAATACAGTCACCTGATCTTTGACATAGAGAAGATTGTCTCTTCAACAAAGACTGAAACAAGTAGACATCAACATGCAAAAAAATTACCCTAGACATAGACTTTCACACTCCTCCCAAAAATCAACTCAAAAAGGGATCACATGGATCAAAGACCTAAATGTAAAATGAAAAACTATGAAACACCTGGAAGAAAACAGGAGAAAATCGAAATGACCTAGGGTCTGGAGATGACATCTTAGGTACAACACCAAAGGCATGATCCATAAAAGAAAATTCATAAGCTGGACTACATTAAACTTAAAAGTTATTCTCTGCAAAAAACACTGGCAAGAGAATGAAAAGACAACCCACAGACTGGAGGAAAATATCTAGAAATGACACATCTGATACAGGATTGTTATTCAAAATAAATTACTTTTTTAGAAGTTTATTTATTTAAGTAATCTCTACACCAATGTGGGGCTCAAACTCATGATCCCAAGATCAAGAGCCACATGTTCTACTGATTAAGCCAGCCAGGCACCCTCATAAACAAAGAACTCTTAAAATTCAACAATAAGAAACCAAACAACCTGAGTAAAAACTGGGCCAAATACCTCAACAGACACCTCTCCAAACATATACAGATGTCAATTAAAAATAGGAAAAGATAGTTAAAAATGTCATCAGGAAAACACAAATTAAAACAATGAGACACTGCCACACACTTAATGAGAACAGCTCATATCCAGAACGCTGACACCAACAAATGCTGAGAAGGAGCTCTCATTCACTGCTGATGGGAATGCAAAAAGGGAAACCCGCTTTGGAAGACAGTATGATCAGGCAATCCCTCCTTGGAATTTACCCAAAGAAGATGAAAACATGTCCACACAAAAACCTGCACACACAGGTTTACTGCAGCTTTATTGGTAAGTGCCCAAACCCAGAAACAATTAAGATGTCTTTCAGTGGGCGATGGATAAATAAAACTATGGTACATCCAGACAATGAAATATATTTCAGAACCAAATAGAAATGAACTATCAAGCCACAAAAAGACCTGGAAGAACCATAAATGCGTATTACTAAGTGAAAGAAGCCACTGATGATTCCACATATGATTCCAAATACATGACATTCTGAAAAGCCAAAACTATGAGGACAGTAAAAAGAGCAGTGTGGTCACAAGTTGGTGGGGAAGGAGAGATGAACTGACGAAGCAAAGAGGAATTTTAAGGCAGTTAAACCACAGTGGATATTATAATGACAGATATATATACTGTAAATTATTTGTCAAAACCCCACAATGTATGACACCAAGAGTGAATCCTTATGTAAACTACGGATGCATGGTGATGATGATGTGTCAATTCAGGCTTATCAGTTGTAACAAATGTACCACTCTGGTAGATGTTGATAGCAAAAGACACTGTACCTGTGTGGAGGCAGGGCATACATGAGAAATCTCTGTATCTACTGCTCAATTCTGCTGTGAATCCACAAGGGCTCTAAAAACAGTAAGTGTCTTAAAACAACATGTCAGGTACCCCTGGGTGGCTCAGTTGGTTAAGTGTGCAACTCTTGATTTCAGCTCAGGTCATGATCTCATGGTTTGTGGTATCAAGCCCTCAGTTGTGCTCTGTACTGACAGTGTCAGAACGTGCTTGAGATTCTCTCAGTCCCTTTCCCGTTCAGGCTCTCGGACTCAATATAAATAAATAAACAATTTTTTTTTAAAAAAGGCACCTAGGTGGCTCAGTCAGTGGAGGAGGGCCCAACTACTTATTTCAGCTCAGGTCATAATCCCAGGGTTGTGGGATCAAGCCCTTCATCAGGCTCCTCACTGAGCATGGAGCCTGCTTAAGATTCTCTCTCTCTCTCACACTCTCTCTCTCGCTCTCTCTCTCTCTCTCTCCCCCCCAATCCCTCCCCTCTCGCAAACGTTCTCTTTAAAATTAAAAAAAAAAAAAAAGTCATGTTCCTGTGAATGTTTCTCAGAATGTTACTTTGGAAATAGGGTCTCTGTAGATATAGTCATGTAAAGATGGAAAAAAAAAGTAAAGATGAAGTTATATCTAACATACTGGATTAGAGTGGGTCTTAAATCCATTTACTAGTGTCCTTATTAAGGACGAACATATAAAGGGGGAAAGGCCATGTGAAGATAAAGGCAAAAATCCGAAAGGTGCCTGAGTTGCTCAGCTGATCGAGTGGCCAACTGTGACTCAGTCATGATCTCAGCCTGCATCGGGCTCTCCATTGTCAGTACAAAGCCTGCTTTGGATTCTCTGTCCCTCTCTGTCTGCACCTCCCCCGCTCCTGCTCTATCTATCTCTCAAAATTGATAAATATTTTTTTTAAAAAGGCAAAGATTAGAATGATAGAGCTGTATGGGGCACCTGGCCGGCTCAGTTGGTGGAGCGTGCAACTCTTGACCTTGGGATTCTGGGTCTGAGCCCCACATTGGGTGTAGAGATTATTTAAAAAGAAAATCTTAAAACACACAAATAAACAAAGAAGCCAATATCGCTGCAAACCAAGAAACACCCAGAATTACTAGCAACCACTAGAAGCTGGGAAGAGACAGGGAGAGATTTTCCCATAGAGCCTTCAGAAGGGGCCTGGCTCTCCTGACACCTTGAACTTGTATCTCCAGTCTCCGGAAATATGAAAGAAGAGTAAGTTTCTGCTGTTTTTAGCCACAGTTTGTGGTACTTGGTTATGAAAGGCCTAGGAAACTAATACAGCCAACTTCCACAGGCCCATCCCCAAATCACTAACCCAAAGAACAAACCCTACAATATATACTTTTTAACACCTTTCTGAGACATACCCCAGCCCCCCAAGTCAGTGAGTAATAAAACCCACTTGTTTACAGGTATGTTCCTGGTGGTCTCTGAGTGAAGAGCCTCGACATCAATAAAACTTTCCCGAGGACCCAAGCCACAAAACTCCCTAAGACCCAAAGGGATGCTGGAAGTCTATCCCCACACTTTCAACACTTCATAAGCATCAACGCTTTTAATCATAAGAAAAGGGCAATTCACTACATAGATGTTTATTTTCATGGTGAAACCACTAGGCTCTAAGTTCCTTGGGGTCAGTGACCATGTCTGTCTTATTTACCACTATATTCTAATTCCTCAGCCCGAATCCTAGAACAAGGTAAATTAGTAAAATTGTTTTCTAAACAGCCAAATGGAGGAATGTTGCCACTCTTACCTAGTGAGGCCAGGTTCTGGAAGTTTTCCAGCATCACATCTCTGTAGAGGTTCCTCTGAGCAAGATCCAGCAAAGCCCACTCCTCCTGGGTAAAGTCCACAGCCACGTCCTCGAAGACCACCGAGCCCTAAAACATCCCACATATATTCTCTTCAGAAAGGTACCTACTCTCCCCATGTATGCAGGAGACTGATGAGGTTGATAATACTGGGGAACTGAGAACCAATTCATAGAAAGTTCTTAAGATACTAAGATCTCCCAACATCTACCCCAGAATGCAGTCATCAGGTCTTTCTCTCTCCCCATAACTGTCTCCTTAACTGATCCAATCCTGTCTCATGGATCTAACGACGCTTCTAAAATGTTAAATTTCTCTCTTCCACAGTTTGATGTGGATAAGACCAATTCCAGTCTTATAATAATCCAGGAGAGTCCAGAGGATAGAGCAGAAGTGAGAGAAATGCTCCAGAAATGACATAATTTCCACACGGACACCAGCAGTTGTTTCAGGAACAATTTCATCTGCTTCCTTCTTTCCTACCAAGCAATCAGCACAAGATGAAACACTGGGTCAAATCGGAATGAGGTTTAAATGCATAAAAACACACCAAGGAACAAGGAGCTTCTCTTTTTTTCACAAACCTGAGACCCAGGAGCCTACAGGAATACAGCTTTCAATTCGGGCCCACAGCTAGCCATATTTTCTTGTTCTCTAGGCCAGGGGTCAGCAAACTACAGCACACGGGCTAAATCCAGCCTACTACTTGCTTGCAGAAGTAAAGTTTTATTGGACCATAATAAAACATTTCTTTATGTACCATCTGGGGCTGCTTTCATGCTAACTTTGCAGTTTAACTGCAATAGACTCTCTAGCCTTCAAAGCCTAAAATACTTACTATGTTGTCCAATAGAAAGGAGATTGCTGACCACTGCTCTAAACAATTGGAAGGTCAATGACCTGGTGGAATGGAAAATTATTTTGCCGAATTATTAGCCCCGACTCACCTGTGTCATATTTTTCTGTAACTCAGCAGCTGTTCTTTCTTCTTTCATGTTCCCTTCATGAAGAAAGCCAGAGAAGTGAGAAGTTAGAGCTGAACCAAGAGAAAGAAGACACAAGAATCCAGGTCTCCCCACAATTCATGAGCCTAGATGCTTCGGCAGGTGCGCTATGAGAGATCGCTCCCCTCAAAACGCACGCACACGCACACCCCCAGCCCCAAGGCACCCACCCAAACACACACCGATCTGGTAAGAAGGTGAAGTAGTCTTATGTCCTCCAGAGCTACAAAACACAGCTGTGGTCCTTGCTGATCAGTGTAAAAAAAAAAAAAAAAAAAAAGTTAAAAGTCCCATCTTGGAAGTTAACTGAAACTTTTTAATGTTTTTTAAATTTATTTCTAGGAGAGAGAGAGAGAGAGAGACAGCGTGAACAGGGGAGGGTCAGAGAGAGAGGGAGTCACAGACTCTGAAACAGGCTCCAGGCTCTGTACTGGCAGTCAGCACAGAGCCCGACGCGGAGCTCGAACCCACGAACCGCGAGATCGCGACCTAAGCGAAAGTCAGACACTTAACCGACTCAGCCACCCAGGCTCCCCTAACTGAAACTTTTTAAAGTTTAGGTGTTAATTTTCCCCTGATAATGAAAATCAGAAAAATTTGACACAATGCTTTCAACCATAAAAATACACAATGTGTCAAATCCAAAAAGGCACTTCTATATCAAACTTCTGGGAGCTCGACTCCCAACACTTCTTACTTCTGCACTACTAGCAGGCTAACAGGCTTTGCTGCGCAGCCTCGGACCGCCAAATCCTCCCTCCACGCTCTGCAGGGTCTCTGAAACTTGGTGTTTGAGGAACGGCATCAACTGACTGAATTCCACATGTAGAAGGCAGTGAAGACTGCAATGCTGTGACTCTCATGCTAAATGTTGCCTGTACAGTTCAGCAGCACCAGAGCAAGAACACCAGAAGTTGGCAATTTATGTCATCTCAGATGGTGTTCTCTCCAGCTGTTAACACAAATTTGAAATACTGAAAATGCAACCATTTTTTCCATGCAGTGGATCAAGTAGTATATTTCATTTTTTTAATGTTTATTTTTCAGAGAGAGACAGAGTGTGAGTGGGGGAGGGGCAGAGAGAAAGACGGGGAAACAGAATCTGAAGCAGGCTTCAGGCTCTGAGCTGTCTGCACAGAGCTCAAAGAGGGGCTTGAACCCAGGAACCCAGAGATGCCCTGAGGTGAAGTCCATCTGGCACTTAACAAAGTGAGCCACCCAAGCGCCTTCAAGCAGTATATTTCAAAGCTGATGAAAACTTCAACATTCTTTACTATATTAATAATGTGCCATCTGAGCAACCATGATATGAGAATGACATTGCCAAGAGCCTTTCTCTCATAGAAGCTCTGCAATCAGATATTATTACAACTCAATTTACCACACACTCAATGTTAGTCAGAAACTAACTATATGTACTGTATATGTACTGCATATACAGGTGTGTAAATGCAGGCCTATTTTTCTTCAAAGCCTAAAATCCCAATGAGTATATTTCTGAACACAGACCTTAAAATTTAGCTGTTAATGAGGCCATTATTACTAACATTACCAGAGTCTGGCCTGGAACCCTGCTGTGCACTACGGAGAGTAGACAAATGAAGTATTCCACTGAAATGTTTCATCTTTGTGAGCTCCTCCTCTTGACTAAGCCTCATGTCTTGAGCAAGGACACTTCCCTTCCGGCCCTTACCTCTTGCTCCTTTGTTTCATATTTACTTAGGTAATATTTACCCTGATGCCACTACATACAGTCACAGGGGATATAGCACTAGACAAAACAGAAAGATCCTGAAGCACAGGAATGTTGTAATCTGTTGAAGGAGGGCAGTAAACAAAGAAATGTATCAGGTAGTGGTACATGATACATAATAATGCAGCTAGCCCAGGACAAGGATAGAGACACATATTTATCTTTATTGAATTAGGACTACTTTTGTGGAAGGGAAAAAGTAGAAAATTAAAAAGTGTTTCAGGTGCACCTCGGTGACTCAGTCAGTTAAGTTTGCAACTCTTAATTTTGGCTCAGGTCGTGAGCCTCAGTTGTGAGATCAAGCCTCATATGTGGCTTAGCACTAGGCGTGGAGCAGGCTTGGGACTCTTGCTCCTTTTCTGCCCCTCCCTCGCTCATGCTTGCTCTCTATAAAGAGATAAACAGTTTTGGAAAAAAAGTGTTTCAGTTAACACCAGAAATCTACAGCTGGTGTGATTTATAGATTTATAAATATCATCAACTCCAGAGGGGGAAAGAATCTGTATCAGTGGGTTAATCATTAACTTAAAGGTTGGGAAAAGAACAGCATAAAGATTCAGAAAAGTGAAACTATGACAAAATTAATGATATCTTTTTAAATCAATAAAAAGAGGAGTGCCTGGGTGGTTGAGTCAGGTAAGTGTCCTACTTCAGCTCAGATCATGATCTCGGGGTCATTGAGTTTGAGCCCCGTGTTGGATTCTGTGCTGACAGCTTGGTGCCTGGAGCCTGCTTTGGATTTTGTCTCTCTCCCTCCCTCTGCCCCTCCCCCACTCATGCTGTGTCTCTCTCAAAAATGATTGTTAAAAAAATGCTAATAAAAAAATCATAGAAACTAATAATGTGCCCTTCGAAAACTAATGTAATCAATATATCTAGCAGTTGTGACAACAGAATTACGAATGAGTCACAACAGATGTTGCAGGGAGAATGGGAGACTATAACCAAAAAACTAAGGAAACATATATGAAAATGTACAGTGTGAATGAATTTCTAAAAGAAATATAACTTTCTGCCAATATTCTAAAATAAATACAAAACTTGATTACACCCAGCCCTTAAAATAAAGAGTAGTTTAAAACATGCCCACAAAGGAAATACAAATTACAAATTGTGACACAGGAAAGTTCACCAAAGAAGTAAAGGATTCATAATTCCATTGTAGGGATGGAAAATACTATTTTCCTGAATATTTCCAATACCAGAAAAGTACAGTTCAAAATAAAATAGGCAATGGGGCGTCTGGGTGGCTCAGTCAGTTAAGTGTCCCACTTTGGCTCAGGACATGATCTCACGGTTTGTGGGTTTGAGCCCCTAGTCGGGCTCTGTGCTGACAATTCAGAGCCTGGGGCCTGCTTTGAATTCGGTGTCTCCCTTTCTCTCTGACCTTCCCCTGTTCACGCTGTCTCTCTCTCAGAAATAAATAAAAGATTAAAAATAAAAAAAAAAATAGGCAAGATCTCATTCATACATATAAATGCAAGGTAATATAAAAATATTAGCACAGTTAAGAAATTAACAAGGAGGGTATAATTACAAACCAAATTCCTTTCTTCCTAAGAATGAAGGGTGTTTGTTAAAAATTGGATCCTCAATTAACATAACCATCACATTAATAGAAAAACATCAGTATGACTATTCCTCTTAGATACAAAACAGGGACTGATCTCTATCAATATCCATTGGTGATAATTTAACCAACTAGAATTAGAGAACAACTTTAATCAGGAAAAGATAATTCTCTACAAACATCTGCAGCAAACATCCTATTTAACTGCTGAAATGATAGAAGAATTCCCTCTGGGATCAGGAGCAAGGCAAGGATGCAAATTACACGCTATTCTAGGGCTGTCTGTCTACCGGAGCGGAGGTCCCAGCGAATACGCTGAAGAAATAAAAAGGGGCGCCTGGGTGGCTCAGTCGGTTAAGCCATAGGATCTGGATTTCCGCCTACGTCATGATTTCAGGGATGGTGAGATCCAGCCCGCTCCCCACGCTGACAGCAAAGAGCCTGCTTGGAATTCTCTCTCTCTCTCTCTCTCTCTGCTTGGAATTGTCTCTCACTCTCTCTCTCTGCCCCTCCCCTGCTTGTGCTCTCTCTCTCAAAGAAATAAACATTTTTTAAAAAAGAAAAAGGGATGCAATGTATAAGAATAAAAGACAAAATGCTGAGAATGGCACAAGACCGCAATCTCGGTATGAAATTCAAAATAATTTACAGCTAAATGATTAAAATGTATAGCTGCATTCCACGAGGGAGGGGTAACAGGGATATTAAATAATCAGTTCACGTTTATGTACCTGGATATAATGTTTCAAATTAATGCCCACAGGCAAGGTAAAGGTCACCGATCAAATATCTCCTGCCCCTGGAGGGGAGCGATGGGAACGGAGTTGAAGCAAATGTCACCCCGCGCTCACCGAACACGCTGAAATCCAGACCAGCGTACAGACGAGGTGGAGGCGCTCGTCTCCGTGACCCGAATGGCAGGGATGCTTTTACTTTCTGAAAACACAGCAAAAGATGCTTTGGAAGGCCGATTAAATACGAGGGTGGTTCTCTAACTCTGACCTACAGCCGACTCACCCCGGCTGCTGGACGCAGCCCAGAGCTCCTGATTCAGGGAGTTCCGGACGAGCAGCTGCCGGGGGAGGCCCTCAGCGCCGGGCTCCAGCGGGGGTAAGGGGCACGGCCCGAGCGGCCGTCCTGTAAATGCCGACCTCTCCGCCTCCCGCAGGCCGGACCTGGGGCTGGCCGGACCGAGCCTTGAAGGACGGGAACAAAGATTTTTAAAAAAATACCTCAGACTCGACTGGGGGACCGAAGGGATATGGCCGCCAGCTCGCGCAGGCGCAAGAGCCCACCTCTGCTTCCGGTTTCTGGGACGCGCACAGCGTAAGGGGCGGAGCTTCGGGAGTTGAGTCGTAAGGATTAAGCGGGGCGGACGGGAGGGAGGCGGTGGCTAGTAGCCGCGAGTGGAAGAGAAATGCCGATTTTCTTCTGGGGAGAGAGGCGTTTGGGCCCTGCGGGCGGATCAGCGCAGGATTTGGATTGGACGGGGCTGACGGGTATTAGGTCCGTGGCCGGGTTTGGTTGACTAGGACTGTGGGGCGGAGCTGGGGCGAGACAACGCCTAGGTGCGTGGCTTAGTTGACTATTCCGAAGGGCAGGATTTAGGGTGGGACCAGGTGGAGGGGCGACACTTGGTTGACCATTCTTGAGGAGCTGAGGTTGAGGGGCGGGGCTGCGGGGATAGGGTTAGGGGCTCCCATCCAGGCTCTGAAACCAGAGAACTAGATGCTCAATTGCGTTTTTCTCAGTTTATACCCTTCTCCAGGTTGCTATGCACAGGACGCAATATTTGTGACTTTTAAGCTTATACCACTTTCTAAGATCTCCCTTCCATTCTTTCCGTCCTTTCATTAGGTCTTTAGTTTTCCCTCTCATTGTTTTATTGATTACTGCTCTTGTTGAGGAAGTAATTGATAATTGTTAATGCAAGTCCATTTACCTGGAAACCTGGCTCTCCGCTAATAGTTGTCATTACGTTATTTTTCCGTATGAATTATGTTTGATTTTCCGTATAAATAAAATTTTCTGTGCCTATTTTTTCTTACTCTACTACCTCGTTTCTTTCTTTGTGCAGGGCCTCTCACACTTATAAAGTCAGAAAAGAAATCAAGCATTGTCTTGGTCAGAAATGATTATCAAGAATGCAAGGTAAGCTATTTGCTGTAGATTGGTTTATCAAGTTAATGAAGTACCTTTAAAAAATCTGGTTTAGGAGATGTTTTATCAGTTTTTGATCAGTGTAATCAAATGTTCATGCATCTATTGAGCTGATAGAGCATGAAAGAGCATCTATTGCTCTTTGACTTTATGACGTCATACCTGTATAAAATATATAATTTTACATAACCCAAAAGTCTATACTTTTTTTTTAAATGTTCATTTATTTTTTGAGAGAAAGAGACAGAGTGCAAGTGGGCTAGGGACAGAGAGGGAGACACAGAATCTGAAGCAGGCTCCAGGCTCTGAGCTGTCAGCACAGAGCCCAACATGAGGCTTGAACTCACAAACCGTAAGATCCTGACCTGAGCCAAAGCCAGACGTTTAACCGACTGAACCCCCAGGCACCCTGAGTCTATACTATTTTTTTAATGTTTATTTGAGAGAGAGCAGTAATGAGCGAGCATAAGACAAGCTGAGAGGCCACAAACACCCCACCCGCACCCCCAAGTGGGACATGTGTGACACTCCAGGTTGCCAAAGAACAAAGGGAAGGGGGAAAACAAATGGTTAACTAATCCTGAAGGACCTAAGTCTCCATCACTTCTCCATAGTGATGTGGGAAACAAAGGCAGAAGGAAATGGCGGAGAGAAATAAATTTCCTTATAACCTGCAGCCCATTGACAAATGCTTGAGGCTGGCAATAAGTCAAATGTTTCTACAGGGACTCTTTACTGTCTGAATGTTAATGCTTTGCTAGAGGGAAAAACAACCCTAGCTTGACAATAGCTAGGCCTCCAGTATCTTCTGAGTCTTCTTTAGCATATGAAAATCTCACTAAAAACTTTCCCTGGACTTTACCTCCCCCAACTTCATAGTAAGTAACCAGTAGCTCCTCATGGTCCTTGGGCAGCTCTTCCTGCCCACAGGTCCTGTCCTGTTGCTTCAATAAAATCACCTTTTTGCACCAAAGACATCTTCAAGAATTCTCTCTTGGTTGTCAACCAAGGACCCCACGAACCCCACTATCACCCCCCAAAAAAACTCATCAAGCAGAAGATGGGCTGAGAGAGAAAGAGCGAGAATCCCATGCAGGCTCCACACTGTCAGCTCAGAGCCCGAGGTAGGACTCAAACTCATGAACTGTGAGATCTGAGCTGACATCAGGAATCAGACACATAGCCTACTGAGCCACTAGGTATGTGAGCCTATATTTCTTAAAGAATGTTTTCTGGATTTCCTAGATTGCTTTTTTTTTTTAAAAGTAGGTAAGACTTGAACTCAAACCATGAAATCAAGAGCCTGAGATCAAGACCTGAGCTGAGATCAAGAATCAGATGCTTAACCAACTGGGCCACCTAGGCGCCCTTCCTAGCTTTTAAATCTCCCTAAACTCTAGAGTATAAAACTATTTTCCTAATTTTCTTCCATATTTTATCTTATTGTTTTAACTTCTCAATGTTTACCCCTCAAGGAATGCATTTTAGTATGTACTGTGAGATAAAGGTCTGTTGTGCTAATAAGCAGCTCTGTGTATTGACCCTTGGGTTGTTTATTTCTTCACTACAGGCTAAGGCCCATTAACTCAAAAGCCCTCTGGGGCCAAACTCAAATTTTTGCATATCCAAATTTTAAAATAGCCTCAACAAAGTTATTCTTAGCCATTCAGAGCCTCCCTGCTTTGCATACTCTGAAAATGTCACCCAGGATCAACTGAACATTGACAAGACACAGAGAGAGCCTAGTCAGACACCAAACTGCTGTGGCCTTTCGGAGCTCTCTGACCCCTCCATGGTGCTGAGCAAAATCACCTAGACACTAAGGCCCCTCCCAGATGCCCCTTTCCCCCACGGGTTCCCTTGCCCTCCTCCCCTTCTGGATGGTGGCTTCAATGACATAAGCCTTTGGATGGTCTCATGTTGGGACTTCCCCTGTCATGCAGTCCTGTCCAAGTGCCACCCTGTTGAAGGAAAAATGGTGGAGTCAAAGTGGTAAAACAGATTTTATTCAGGACTATTGAAACAGGGGAAAAGACACCCTGGTATAAAAGCAGGTTCAAATCCAAATTTGTGGCTAAATGAGAATTTATAGGCAAGAGGCATGGTGGAGGTCAGTGGACAGTAAATCTTTATCACCCAGTAAAGTTCCTTGGATGTTACTGCCTCCTGTGGACCTGTCTTCTCCCTAGATCAGTCCTCAATGCTCTCAAATTCCCTACAGGTGATCAGGCGACTGAGGTAATCAGGAAATAGATAATAGGGACCACCCAATCAACAGGACAATCATTTGACAAAACTATACTGGACAGTTTCAGGTGGTTGAGACTCTATTCTTCTTTTTAATTTATTTCTGAGAGAGAGAGACCAGGGGAGGGTCAGAGAGAGAGACACAGAATCTTAATCAGGCTCCAGGCTCTGAGACGGCTTTCAGGACAGAGCCCGATGCAGGGCTCGAACCCAAGAACCTGAGATCATGACCTGAGCTGAAATCACTTAACCGACTGCGCCACCCAGGCGCCCCAGGTGGTTGAAACTCTAAAATACCTCCAAGTCAGTCTGACATGGTTTTGCTCTGTGTTTTCTTGCGGTTGTTGTTGTTGTTCTAAGTTTATTTATTTTGAGAGAGAGCCAGCAGTCGAGAGGCAGAGAGCTAGGGAGAGAGAGAGAATCGTACACAGGCTCCAAGACAGCATGGAGCCCGATGCAGGGGCTTGAACACTTATACTGTGAGATTATGACCTAAGCGAAAATCAAGAGCCAGTCACTTAATCGACTAAGCCACCCTGGTGCCCCTTGCTCTGTATATGTTTTGTGATTCTCCCACTATTAGCCTCAACAAGTGGTAGTGCAGGTGATGCAGGCAGGTTGGGTCCAAGGACCCAGAGGAGGGTCCCACAGGACCAGCAAAGAGGGCCCTTGGCTTCTCACGGAAGTTTATTGAATATCATGAGTGACACAGAGAATAGCAGACGGAGTGCCTGGGAGACTAGGAAAGGAAAAGAGAGTTGTGGTTAGGGGTTTATACTGGAAAAGGGCCTAGAGTACATTTTTCTTCAGGAATCCAGGGTAGAGTCCAATCAAAGGCAAGTGTCAGGTGAACAATAGACGTCAAAGGTAAATTACTGATGCCAGTATCAGCCAAGGCTTCTTCAAAGCTAATGTCCTGGCACATGTTTGGGATCTGGCACTTCTAGGTTATCAGGTGTTTGGGGCCTAAGATGAAACTCAAAGAATGATTAACTCTCATGCTTTCCCCTTGAATGGGAACGTAGCCATTTTGGCTTATTCAGAGGCAAAATATTGAACATGAGGAAATGGGGTCTAGCAGAAAAACAGCAGAGATGAGGCCATTTTACAATGGAGTCCCAGGGCTCCTGGGTGGCTCAGTCACTTCAGTGTCCTACTTCAGCTCAGGTCATGATTTCATGATTCATGAGTTCCATCCCTATATTGGGCTATGTGCGGACAGCTCGGTGCCTGGAGCCTGCTTTGGATTCTGTGTCTCCCTCTCTCTCTGCCCCTCCCCCACTCGTGCTCTGTCTCTGAAGCAAGCTCCAGGCTCTGAGCTAGCCGTCAGCACAGAGCCCGACGCAGGGCTGAAACCTGTGAACCGAGAGATCATGATGGGACCAAAGTTGGACGCTCAACCTACTGAGCCACCTGGGTGCCCCAAAACATTAAAAAAATTTATAAAAATAAAGAAAATGGAGTCCCTTCACTTCCCTACCTCTTAGGTATTTAAGTGAACCTCATTGAAACTGACTTCTTGGGTCAGAGGTGCAGCTGCCTGGGGGAAGTAAGCCTGCCTGCCTGGTCCCCCACTAAGCAGCCCCTGGACCTGTAAGACTTAGGGGCCCAAGCAGGAAAAGAGGAGGAGTGCCCAAGTCTGGACCAAGGGTGGGCTGCCCCTGACCCCATCCTGGGCTGTCGCAAGAGCAGGTCCCCACGGCCAGCTGGTGTTTCAGGGTTCTCTGAGACTAGACAAGACCTAGGGATTGCTCCAAACGGTTCATCAGCTCGTAAGGCAGAGATAGCAGGTCTCCTAAGCACAGTTAGGGGAGATGCCTTTGTCCACAGCTGGCAGGCTTTCTCTGTAGTCCCACTCAGACCTACTGTCTAGGAAGGAATCCCAGCCCCTCCTCAGAGGGACATTGAGTCCCCCAACTCTTAGGCCCAGCCAGCCAAAATATTACTTAGAGTAACCCAAGTCAAAGAAGTTTATATCCTTGACCTGCTCCCCCAGGAGCTCAAAGAAGGTGGCTGTTTTACTGAAATAATGTTCTGAACCATGAGATGGATGTCGTGTCCTGGTTACCACAGCTTCATACCACCCAGAGGAGGAAAGAGCCCAAGCTTCTGCAGGTGATGAGACAGGACAGAGTGCAGGATCGGGGGTGGGGGGTGGGGGGTGGGGAATAATGACCAACGTGCTCTGCTAGAAAAAAATAAATACAATGTTAGCACTGTAAGAACAAAGGCATTTTATCCTCCACTTTGCCAGTGACCTTCCAAAATGTAGTAAAAGGCCAAAAGGCAAAACGGGAAGGCAAAAAAAAAAAAAAAAGAAGAAGAAGAAGAAGGGTTGACTCTCTCTTGGAGGAAGAAAGACCCATCATCTGTCTACTTAAGAGTCCATCCCTCTCCCCAACCCCAGGAAATCAATACCTTGAAAGGAGGATTAACAAAAAAGGCAAGTACCAGCTTAACTATTAAAATCAGCGCACTTTGGCTGAAAGATGATTCTGTCTTGAATGTTTCTCCCAGACGACCCCTCTTCCCATGCTTGGAATGGGACCTGCTGAGCCAACCTCATGAAAGGAGCCTAAAGCTTTTTGCTGTTCGTGGGCACCAGCTGTTAAGAACCAGTTAACCTTCCCTGACCAGTGGAGGTGGTCAATATGCCACAATAATTACCAGCCACAGAGAGGCGCTGAAAGGGTACAGATTCCTGCCATTTCACCCTTTCTTTCTGAGGTATGGCCTGTGCTTAAAGCCACTAAGCATCAATGGGGCTGATGGTAGACTATAGTTAAACCAGATTATTCCCTTCATTAGAGCGCCCCTCCCCGATATCACCGCCTAGATGGATGACATTTCATTTGAAGCTATAAATTTGGCTAATATGTTCCCTTCTGTAAAAGTCTCACAGGAGAGAAAGGCAAGTACCCAGGAAGTAGAACTAATACCTTCAGACTACATAGATAACACCATTTTGGTGATACCCTGGGGGCAGGTTGGGGAGGTTCCTCTACTTCAAGCCACAAAGAACATCAACTATAACCTATAATCTTTGTGCAGCTTCCTGTAGCTGAAGAGCCCAATCTAGACTGTGACCAAGCAGTTTTATATTCTGCACTTCCGTTCTGAATGGGGCAGGGCAAAAAGTTCCTTACCTCATCAGAATCTAAGAGGCAATGAGTTTCCCAGGGGAGGTGAGTGGGAGATGGCCTCATAGAGGCTCCTTACTTCCAGGCCTCCCATCCCTCATGTTGTGGGAGGATCACAGGGCATCCTGCCAAAACTCACATTTGCCACAGTCAGGCCTTTGCCTGCGTGGCCTATGTGGATACATACAGAGTCTCAAAGGCGCTGTGGCAGAGCCATTTCTCTACAGCTCTGGCCCCCGATTTTTCATGTATCTATCTAAGAATTCTTTTTATTTAATTTTTTATTTAAAAATTTTTTAATGTTTTTTGATCTTGCCAAAGATGTCCATGCCCTAATCCCCAGAACCTGTGAATATATTACTTTGTGTGCCAAAGGGGACTCTGCAAGTGTGGCTAAATTAAGGTTCTTGAGATGTGTTGAGGGGGGGTGTTGGGCTGGCTGAGACGTAGGGCTGAGATGCCACAAAATGGCGGACTTCTTAAGATGGCTGACCTTTTCGCCACTACATCGGTGACCCTTAAGACATTGGCGGGAAAAAGAAACTTAAACCTTCCAACCCGGGACTTTCCAGTCAAGAGTCCGCCCCTGTTATCTGGACTTCCACACCCCCACTAACAGGCTATAAAACCCCTCACCACCCAACCGGGGGCGCGACTTCCCCGACTCCCCTCTTTTGAGTCGCGGAACCTCGCTGGAGGGTCCAGGCAATAAAACTCCTCCTGCAGAACATTTAGCCTTGGAGTCTCTTTTACTCACCTAAAAAAACCTTACAGGGGGGAGCACCCCAGAGTATTAAGATGGAGCCAGTGTAATCACAGGGATATTTTTAAGCAAAAGAGGGAGGCAGTAGGGTCAGAGTCAGAGAGAGATGAGAATGGAAGCAGTGATCAGAGTGATCTATGGCCCCGACCAGCGCATGGAGACAGCCTCTGGAAGCTAGAAAGGCAAGGAAATGAATTCTTCCCTACAGCCTCCGGAAAAAACATAGCCTTGTGGATACCCTAAATGTAGCCCAGTGAGACCCATCTCAGATGCCTGACCTTCACAACTATGAGACAATAAATCTGTTTTGTTTTAAGCTACTAAGTTTCTGGTAACTTGTTACAACAGCAAGAGGAAACTGACATAGATACTGTAATTAATTGTAGCCATAGGGGATTATAAAAATATCTGTTTCCCTACAACGTTTCTGATTGGGATGGTGAAATATTTTTGAGATGACTGTGGGGATATTTGGACAACTTTCTAGACAGGTCCTTCATTAGATATGTCTTACCTCATTGTGTGCGTTTTTCTCTGACCAGCGTGTCAACTACACACACTCTTTCTGATCTTCCAAGTAGGAGCAAAGGAATAAGCTGGGGAAAGTGTACAAAGGTTTATTTGGGAATAGTACAGAACTATAATTTGCGACAAGCAACCCACAGCAAAACCATAGGCTAGTCCAACCAAGAGTAGGAATGTGAGAAATCTAACTGACTCCATTTTAGGAAAAAGCCTCCATCTTGAGGGTGAACTAGGCCCAAACCCAGTCCCACGAAAAACCGCAGGAAGTACTTAGGCAGCCTCAGCCTGCCCTTAGTTACTACCCTAGCAATAGCAACAGCCAATCAGTTTAAAAGAGGTGCCTATGTCCCAAGACGTTCCAGTTGACAGTTTGTGGTCACGCCAGATGAGCCGAACCAATCGGGTATAGACAAGACAGCCTGCACGAAAAGTCAACCTATCACGAGGTTGCCAAGCTAGAACGCCCCGAATTCCCCTGTAACCCCAATAAAAAGCCCTGCGACCACAGTTCAGTGCTCCATACCATCACCTCAGGGTCAGGGTGCATTGGAGTCCCTGCTCAAGCTTGAATAAAGACCCTCGTGTGCTTGCATCAGAATCGGCTCCTCAGTGGTCTTTGGGGTTCTCGCGATCTGGGCATAAGAGGTACATTATTTTCTGGAGGAGAAAGTTGGGAGGGGTTGTTTTGAAGGGGTCCATTGGAGAAAAGGAAGAGTTCAGGCTGATGATGGTTTCTCATTGGCTGAACTGCTGGGTAGTCTATTTCTTGTAAGAGATGTAATGTACGTCTTCTGTTGGGGGCTGTAATTTCCCGTTGCAGATTCTTCTGTTGGGGGATCTGTAATTGGTCATTCTTACTGTAATTAAGGAGTGGTACCCTGTGAGAACTCCCCCTCTGCACTCCTTTTCCCACAAGACAAAGTTTCTGAGAATAAATTACAATTCTATCAGACCAGCAGGTTCACTACCTAGTCCATACATATCCTCGGGAAGCAAATCCTTCAAACCAAGAGAAATTACAGCATTCAGCATCCAAAATTCCCTCCCATTTCACCAAAAGACAATGTAGAGGATTCCTAAGACTTATTGTAGACTGTCAATTGCCAACTTAATGATTTATCTGCCTCCTTCTATGACATGACTAATGACACCCCTGAGGCTCTGCCATGGGAAGTCACTGTAGAGTTAGCCTTAGGCCAACTCAAGGCTAATATGGAGAACTCACCAACTCTGGGTCTCCCAAATGATAATAAGCGGTTTCCCTTTTCATGGTACCGGAAAGGGATGGCCAAGCTCTTAAACTTTTTAACTCAAAATCAGAATGGAATCCAGAGGTTCATTAGGCCTAACAGTTGCTCTCCTAACCCAGTAAAGAAGACAGTAGCCTCAGCCGCACATCTAGACAAGCCATCTCATTTAAACTTGGGTCACGTCTTCACTTGCAGTGTAACTCCAGACCGAGAGACTGCAGCGTTTTCTCCCTCCTGCCTCAAGTGCAGTTTGCTGCTCCCTTCACAGGCAGGAGGCTGAACTACAATGAAAATGAATCACGAAGAGTGAATTTATGTTGCCACAGGGAAGGTTAAGAGCAGCTATGTAGCGACTGTATTCATGACCAACACGGGCAACATGCAGGCACAGTTGTGCAATGAAGAGGATGATACACGTATGCGTTCACGTACGCACCACAATTGGAAAGCAACTATTATCCGGTTCAGATGTGTAAGAGCACCGCGCTGTGGAGGAAAAGAAACCACCGCCGGGGTCAAAGGGCACAGCGCCGCCTTCCGGTCCAGCTCCCTCAGAGCGGCTCTCCGCGTCCCGGCAGGAAGAGAAAGGCCTCGCTCCGCAAGCGGGCGCAGGAGGAGGCGTCCGAGAGACCCGCCCAGCTCCCGAGGCCCCGCCCCTCGCGCGGTTTGCAGAGATCGGAAAAGCGCGTGCGCAGGGCGGCGGCCATCTTGGCCGCGCGCCACTCCCGCGTGTGAGGCAGAGTCATTGCTTGTCGCCGCCCGGCCTCCAAGTGGGGACGCGGGGAAGGGAGGAGCCCAAGGGGGAGGCGCGGAGTCAGAGTCCCCTTCCTTGGAGAGTCCGGGCCGGCTGAGCCCCCAAGACGGGGACGACAGCCCCGGGGGGAGGCGTGAGGCTAGGCTTTTCCTCGTCGCGGCGACTCCGGCCCCAGCGTCCACGCCCCCACCCCACCCCCCAGCGTGGCGGTTGTCAGCCGCGCGGGCACGCGGTGCTCTTGGCCGTGTTGCTTATCGACGTTAAACGTCTGACTGAGTGAAATCGCGTAAGGTAGAAAACTCAGCGCGGCCGAGCCTTGCAAATGCCTGAAGCCTCGACTGTAGGAGTCAGAGCAAAGCCGCGGCGGGCCGGTTGCCGTTAGCTGGAGTTGAATTCACCCTAGGTAAGGGGAGGTTTTGACAGGCGGGCTTTTCTTTCGGGTATCCGTTTAGAAATTCTTTAGAAATCCGTTTAGAAAGTCCGTAGCACTAATAAAACGAACATCCGTAGAACCTTTACCCATGTTCACTAATTTCTAAGATTTGTCTCTAGTCCTGTTTATTCTTATGATGAGCCATTTAATGGTAAATTGCAGACATTCGCTTCCCCTTGTAATCGAAGCATATGCATCCTCTAAGAATCAGGACAGTCTCCTAACACCCGAACTCCACTGTCCGTCCAAGAAGGTAA